TGTAATGATGTCCAGTGACTTGTTTGCATTATTTATGCATTATTTTATTTATTTGTAAGACTTTTTTATGACTAAATTTGGTAATGGGAGAGTAAAATTATTTTTAAAACGTACACCGTTCAAACTAGGCTGCTTATGTTGAAGTGTTTGGGATGTGGCTTTTAATGATGAGACCTTTTTTGTAATCAGGCTCTCAAAAAGTATATAAAAATTTGGATATAGATTTATCGGCCAACATATCGGTTATCAGCTTTTAAAAAGAAAGAATTATCGGTTATCGGTATCGGCCAAAATTTTCATATCGGTGCATCCCTACTTCAAACCCTTTTAGACCTTCTGAAGATATATTGACAGAAGTGAAACTCTTGAATCTGTGCTGGTAAAACAGTCATGCAATGGTGTTTGGACCTGTAACATGGTAATACAATGTTGTGCAATGGAAAAAATGCATGCAAACAAAGTATGGGAAAGATACCAATAGACAGTGTAGTGCATAGGGCTGTGCAATATATCGAAATTATCGAAATATCGCAAATGCATATCCCTACAGCTTGCAATATTTGGGGCCATGAACAAAAGACAAAGAGAAAATCACTCACTGCTCTTACCGAAATAACTTTTGTAGCTTAAATAAGAATCAGTGCATATTGAATTCAAAGAGTAAATACTAAGCAGTGTTGTATTTTTCCTTTTTATTATTCAGTTCCTAAACTCATGTTAAAATTATTACACTAATGTTAAAATGACATTTTTATGTAATGCTAGAGTAAAACACTACCGTTCACTTTCAGAAGTTGTTACAAATACAAATAACCATACAGGCCTGATTACTGCCACACCTGTTCGCAATCAAGAAATCTCTTAAATAGGACCTGCCTGACAAAGTGAAGTAGACGAAAGGCAGGTTTTGGGCAAATGGTGGCGTGCGAATTCGGTCGGACGTGTTTCCGTTGACGCAGCTGTTAGCCCGGGTAGACTGAGCACGCTGGAAGCGAAAGGATCACAGAACTGACTCAGCAACAGCTGAGTAAAACTGTTTCATCTGAGCATGTGGCGCTTTAAGCATTATCGTATCGCATATCAAATATCGCATTATTTAATGAGTTATCGCAGATCGCATTTTTCTTCAATATCGCATAGCCCTAGTAGTGCACTTACTGGTGTGCAGCTGTTCGATCTGAAAGCTGTGTGTGTTTCAGGCTGAAGAAGACCTGCGGCAGAATAAAGCGTGCCCCGTGCATGCGGTGGACCAGACGGTGCACACAGACGAGGAGAAGGCCATCCGGGAGGTGGTGGAGAGCGTGCTGTGGCAGATGGCAGCGGACAGAAAGAGCACTGCGCTCAAGCAGCTGCAGGGCCACATGTGGAGAGCCGCCTATGTGACGGGGAAAATCAAAGGCGAGTAAGTAACCTCATCTTTACCAGCACATGTGTGTTTGAGCAGGACCTGGACATCTAAACTCTCAGCAAGTGCTCAGTTGTGAGCTTCAAGAACTGTTATACATTTGTTATCCATGGTGACTGGATAACCTGTGACTAACTCTTACTCCGATAGTAAATTAATCTGTCAATTATGTTATTGATTAACTAATAAATTGTGTGAAAACTCTGTATTTTAATGAAAAAAAACATGCTATTTTGCAGTTTCCTCCAGACAACACACAGACAAAGTACAAATATAGAATACAAAACACACTGCTGTTCAAAAGCTTAGGGTCTTTTAATCTTTTATTCTCGAATATTTTTTTAATTAATATTTTTATTGAGATTTTGTTCCAGCAGTACAAACAGAAAACAAATATATCCATATAAGGTGTACACAATGGAGAGGACAAATAAATAGAATAAAATAAAAATAAATAAATACATAAAATAATCAAATGAAAGAAATGGATTACAGGGGAACAGATGGGTTACGGGGGCAGAATAATTCATTTTAATAATTAATTTAATTATTTATTAATCAAGGACACATTAAATTGATCAAAAGTGACAGTAAAGACTTTTAAAATAGAGAAAATAATGTTAGAAAATATTTCTATTTCAAATAAATGCTGCTATTTTGAACTTTGTATTCATTACAGAATCTTGAAAGAAATGTTCCATTAAAATATGAAGCAGCACAAATGTTTTCAACAATGATAATAATCAGAAATGTTTCTGAAGATCATGTGGCACTGAAGACTGGAGTAATGATGCTGAAAATACAGCTTTGATCACAGAAATAAATTACAGTTTAACAGATATTCACATAGAAAACAGTCATTATAAACTGTAATATTATTTTACAATATTACTGTTTTTTTACTGTATTTTAATCAAATAAATGCAGCCTCGGTGAGCACAAGAGTCTTTCAAACATTCAACCATTAAACATTTAATAAATCTTACTGACCCCAGGCGTTGGAAGGATAGTGTAGCTGTTGTAATCTCATTGTATAGCTGCTGTTGTCACTAGATGCAGTAACAGAGAGTTATGTTGTAGTGTTGCTGTGGTTTTGTGGCAGGGTGTACCCGGATGTGGTTCCAGCCATCAGACGCTGGAGGCGTGGAGGTCTGAAGGTCTTCATCTACTCCTCAGGAAGTGTGGAGGCGCAGAAGCTGCTCTTTGGCTACTCTGTCGAAGGCCATCTCTTAGATGTAAGCTTGATCTGTTCGATTCGAAGCACTGTTTAGACGGGGTTCGTTTTCTTTCTTGTGCTGCTCACACCAGATTCTGATCTCTTTAGTAGTCTCTCTCTATAGTCTGGATGTGGGCTTTAAGGAGAGTCGTGTGCATCACAGAACCCACTGGACGTATTAATGTGACTAATTATGTAAGGAATCATTTAGTTGAAAAATGCACCCTGACTGGAGTTATTCAGATACTGTGTCACTCAGAAGTGGTTTATTTTGCGCTCCTGTCCAGCTGATTATTATTGCTGCTACTACAGTGGCTTTTCTGAGCAGTTTTCAGTGTCAGAGTCCACTTATTGATTTCTGTTGGATAAGATGCCAGCAGCACAAATTACCGTATTGGCCCGAATATAAGACGACCCTGATCATAAGACGACCCCCCCTTTTTCCAGATGTACCTTTTGGAAAAAGGCTTTTTAAAAACCAAATCTTGTTTTTTCTCAGTAAAACACATTTTGTCTTCAATTATTTTCATATTGCATATTTTTCCTATTTTAATTTTTGTTTTGAAAGTATGGTAAAAACTGGTAAAATGTACCAACAATCACATTTAAAAAATATACACTTTTTGATATACCATAAAAAATAAAAAACAGGTAGCCCATCTGAATTAGGACATTTAGGCTATCCATCTAATAGTAGCCTACCAAAATCTTATTAACAGTAGAAGTTCAATCTTACTGTAGTCTTCAAATCTGGGTACTGTCTTACGTTTTAAAATCACAAAGGGAGTTTGGTCCCATCAGGCTAACGTGACAGTCACGACTCATGCAGATGTAAGCTTTTCTTTCCAAGAAAAAAACATCGTCTTATATTCGGGTCAATACGGTAATATTGTTTAACAACTACAACAGTATAACAATAATTGTTATACTGTTGTAGTATTTATTAATATTTAGAATTGGTATATCTTTTATATTTTACGTTTACGTTTTCATTTTAATTTTAGTTAGAATTTAATTTTTAATTTTATTTATTTATTTTTTGCGGGTTGCACTATTTACTTCAAATGGTGAAAAAAGTAAAATATTTTAAATACTATTATAGTTTATATTAATATTTTGAATTGACTTTCTATATCAATTTTCATTATAATGTTAGTTTAAGTTTGAGAAAATGTTATTACTATTATTATTCTTTAGCTTTAATGTAGTTTCATTGTAGTTTTAGCCATTTTAGTACTTTCACTTATATATTTTAGTTATTTACCAAGGCTTAGTTTTTTCCATCTAATATTTGTATTTTAATACTTTTTTAATTAACAGTTACAACACATTTGTTTTTGTTGTTTGTTGTTATTATTATTATTATTTGCTTTTAATACATTTTATTTTAGTTATGTTTTAGTAAGTTTAGTACTTTAAATGAAACTTATTTCAGTTAGTTGCCAAGGCAATATTAATCAAATATTCTTTATTTTTTCATCTAATATTTATATCTTATTTCAGCTTTATTTGAATGAATGTAAATGCTTTCTTAATAGTTTTAGTTTTTGTAAACACTGACCACCAGCAGTTATTTTTTTACCCAGAAGTTTGGCCAAAAGGTCTTATTCCGTAATGAAGGTTCACCAGGCAATGAAAGATGTAGCTTTTGTTATTATGGTGTTTCAGTAAAGGTCAAAGTAAATAATGCAAAGCGATTGGGAAAGGATTATAAATGACAATCACATGGTAACACTTTATTTTGAGGACCAATTCCTACTATTAACTAGTTACTTACTAACATGCATATTACTAGAATACTGTCTGTTTATTAGTCCTTTATAAAGCACATATCAATGCCTCATTCTGTATGACCGTATTTTAGATCCTTCAACTCGACCCAATACCTAAACTTCACAACTACCTTACTAACTATTAATAAGCAGCAAATTGGGAGTTTGTTCAGGAAAAACTCTTAGTTAATAGTGAATAAAGCAATAAGCCCCGTGAAGCCGTGGTTTACAGTGAATTTATAACAGCTAAGGGGCGTTGTTAAAAGCTAAACCCCCTTAGCCATTATAAATTCACTGTAAAGCACAGCTTCACGGGGCTTATTGCTGTTATAAAACGGTTATTCCATATATGTAGTTAGGTTTCACAGAATAAAACAGAGCAAATAAAGTGTAATGATATTAATAAAAACAGTATTCTTCCACCAAACAATGTAGTTCCTCAGAATCAGTTGTGGTTCCAACAAAGTGGTTGCCGAGCAACACACAGAAGTAAACAAAGGTGTGTGTTTGTAGAGTAATTTACAACAGCTTCGAACGCTGCTCAGCCAATCAGAATCAAGGACCGGAACTCTCCGTTTTATAATACGTGTTCCCTAATCTAAAGTGTTACCAATCACATTTATTCCTACATGGGCAGAATGAAAGCCAAGAAACGGTGATCCCTCCGCAGGGAAAATTAGAAATAAGAAGTGTTTGCTTGACACGGATTCACAAGTTTAAATGAGTTGATGTAGATTTGCAAGTTTTGAATTTTTATATTTATTTTCTCAGTTGTTTGATGGTCACTTCGACACCAACATTGGTGCCAAAGTAGAAAGTAAGAGCTATGAGAACATCGCAGAGAGGATTGGATGCCAACCGGAGGAAATCATGTTCTTAACCGACCTCGCACGAGGTGCGTGCACGCTTTTCATTGATAATACGTGCTTGTGCCACAATCACATGAGGGACCCTGACTGTGCAGTGTGATAATTCATCTTCACGAGCATCTCTCTTACAGAGGCAAAGGCAGCAGAGGATGCTGGGGTGAACGTGGCTGTCGTCGTTAGACCTGGAAACACGGAGTTAACCGGAGAAGAAAGGAGCCGTTATAGAGTCATCACATCTTTCAACCAGTTAAAACTGAGCGGAAACGTTTGACAGCGCAGAACAGGGATTACAGCATCGGATCATGTGAAAAACCAGCGGTTATTATGTGTTGTTATTCCACTGGACTGAAACGCCAAGCCTCCCAGGTGCTTGTTTTTTACACTGAAGCCCATCTTTGAATTATCATACACTTGCAGTCTCTTTGAATGTTTTCTATGCGGTGTTAATGTGTAGCATATGACATATTCATGTCCAGATACTTCTGTCTCTATTCCCCACCTGTGCAGTGATATAAAATATGATAACCTGCCAACTAGACACAGGTTTAGTGTGATTGTACCTCATGTCAGTCTTATAAACTTCAGTATCAAATGTTGTTGTAAAATTTTATTCCAAACGGACACATCGAACAAATCACATTTGCAACATTTAGACACACCAGCACCCGAAAACAGATGTCTGTTTTAGTTACAAAATACAGAATTATGACCAATGTCAGAGATGTTTCACAATATATAACATCAAGTAGAAAATGCTGCATAAGCTTCTTTGAAGATTATGCAGGACAGGCTCAGAATGAAACGCGGTTACATGAATACAAAACATCTGATTCTATTTCACATGGAATTTCTTTTTGACATTAAAGTGATATTTCACTTAAAAATTAAAAAATCTGTCCTCATTTACTCACCCTCATGTTGTTCCAAACCTGTACGAGTTGCTTTCTTCTGTTGAACACAAAAGAAGATATTTTGGAGAATGTTGGTAAACAAACAGTTGACGGTAGCCATTGGCTTCCATAGTATTTTTTGGGAAGTCAATGGCTACCAGCACCTGGTTCTTCAAAATCGTCTTCAAAATTCTTCATAATATCTTTTTTTATATTTAACAAAAGAAAGAAACTACATGTTTGGAACAACTTGAGGGTGAGTAAATGATGACAACATTTTTATTTTTAGGTGAACTGTCCCTTTAAAGGCAGTTTTTCAAACCCATATGCTGCGTGAAGATTGGCGTGACCAAAACGGTTAGTAAATAATACAAGAATTTTAATTTAAAGGGATAGTTCACCCAAAAATGAAAATTACCCCATGATTTGAAGCACTTTTTATTATGGATGGATGCACTTCATTGGACTTCTTTTGGACTATTGACAAAAAACACCCATTCACTGCCATTATAAAGCTTGGAAGAGCCAGTATATATTTTTTTTAATATAACTCCGATTGTATTCGTCTGAAAGAAGAAAGTCATATACACCCAGGGTGGCTTGAGGGTGAGTAAATGATCATTTAAATGGTAATTTTCATTTTTGGGTGAACTATCCCTTTAATTCAAGTGGTGAGGTTTGTAGTGTCTTCTGCAACAAGAAAGCATAGTCCTAATGTTTCTGAAGGATTATCTTGCCAAAAGCCGTTCCTGTATTCAGATCTTCCCCTTGAAAGTGTCCTTGTCACGTCACTCATCTGACACATAAACATGGAGCACATCACAGTAAATCGTTGTGCATTTCATGATCTTTTGCCAAAGCCCATCTACACATCCAGAAGACATACTCGTCCGAAGGGCTTTCTAGAGAGATTACATGCAGGACTGAGAACTGAAGTACGAGAGTCCACAGATACTGAAGAGTGAGACTAGAGCTGGTCAGACTGGTACTCGGAGACCTCGGAGAAGCTTTCAGACAGGCTGAGCGGAGGCTCCTGCTCGTCGCTGCAGACGATCTCGAAGTGGTAGTGGCGAAACTCAAAGGCGAATGTGGCCAGGTACGTCAGGAAGAACATGACCAGCGCCCACTGAGCACGGGCCGCATGCATGTGCAGCCGCTGAGCCATCAGAGCGAAGTCTGCCGTCTACCGTCAAGGCTGAAATATGGAAAACCAATCAAAGCAGAAGAAGATTTACAAAGAACAAGCAGGGCTGGGTGATGCATCACATACTGTACATTCACAACGAATTATCTGGCAATATTAAAAAAAGCAACGCTGACTACAACAATAACTTAAACCAGCCTGAGGTGCTTAGCTTGTTTGTTTATATAGTCTTAGAGGGGTTTTCGGTGTCTGCTAAGAGACAAGATGGCCGATTATTACCAATAGGATACCAACTAAACCAGCTTAAGCTGTTTTTTATGTTTTTTTTATCCAGCAGGGTTCTCATAAGCTCATGGATATTCTTGCATGGCTTTTTATATAAATTAAAATGTGTTGCTAAAAGTAAAGGTAATTATTGTTTTCTTTGTATTGTTTACATTGCCTTTGTATGGAAGGCTGTTTCCGCCACTGAACAAAATTTAAAAAAAAAAGGTAATTACAACATTTTCTCAGAATTGTGATTTAAACCTGCAACTGTAAGAAAATAGTATTTTTTCCCCCCTGAATTGGACTTTATAACTCGCAAATGCGAAAAAAGAAGTCAGAATTTTGAGATATAAACTTGCAATTGTGAGAAAAAAGCCAGAATTTCGAGTTTATATAATTGCAAGTTCATATCACGCAGTTCTAATAAAAAAAAAATAATAATTATTTTAATGGTTTTATTAAGTGGCGGAAACGGGCTTCCATACCTTTGTGAGAAACAAGTACACTTAAGCATTTTATTTCTTTTTAAGAGTACTTATTACAGAAATTATATATTTTAAAATAACTCTTAAGTGCAAGCTGAATGTAATGTTTTCAGACACTTAATTACATGTTAATTGCTATTAAGTGAAATGTATTTGTAGTTCAAATTTATATTTTTGTACTTTATAAATTAGCTGATTGAGTACGTCTTTATATGTAATTTCATAATTACCTCTATTGCCTTTAAAATATTATAAATGTTAAAGTGAACCGCCGAATGTACTGACACACATTTATGGAAAACTAAAATATTTTAATGACATTTTTTTACTTGTATGTCATATTTAAATATATTTGTAATACATATTTACTACACATTTGTGGTGATCAAGTTGCAATTTAGTACCTTTAAAATATATGAACTTTTAATGTCATTTTGAATAACACACAACAGTTCAAATTATAATCAAGTACTTCACATGTGCTTTAGTATGTTAGTCAACCCATCAACATTAGTGAACTACTTTAAAGCATGACAAAAGATTATTAATAATGATTTACAATGTACTTTAAAGTAAAATGTTTAATTTGACATTATTAGAAAGTACTCTTTTAAAGTGTTTTTATAAACGTCGGTTACACTTTAAGGTGTCCTTGTTACAATAGGATTAGGGTTAGGATTCGGGTTTGGTGTGGGCTTCAGTTGCAAGAACTATTATGCATAATTTACTGTTGTTATTATTATAGTAAGTGCATGGTAGTCTAAGTTAAGTGGCCTTTTAAATTAATATTTTATATATGTATATGTGAAAGAACATTTTTGGCAAAAATATAATGTTTAGATTAAAAGGACACTTATTTTTCGCAAGGGTTGTGTATACAAAATGGAAATTATTTTTTTATGCTGCTTTGTTCAAATGGTGAAACGCCTTTTTCTAAATTTTTAATGTTATAATTTTTCAGTGCGTTTTGTTTGAAACAACATATTTAGATATTTCAGAGCAAGATACAGTGGGTACGGAAAGTATTCAGACCCCCTTAAATTTTTCACTCTTTGTTATATTGCAGCCATTTGCTAAAATCATTTAAGTTAATTTTTTTTCCTCATTAATGTACACACAGCACCCCATATTGACAGAAAAACACAGAATTGTTGACATTTTTGCAGATTTATTAAAAAAGAAAAACTGAAATATCACATGGTCCTAAGTATTCAGACCCTTTGCTGTGACACTCATATATTTAACTTCAAAATTCATACCTGGAAATTCCCAACTAAAGTCATACCAAAGCAGGCAAGAGACAAAGCCACCAGACTGCCGATGTTGAGCCAGGGTTTATGCACTCTCGGCTTCAGCTGCAGATACCGCAGCACTCCCAGAATAAAGCCTGGAGCCCAAGAGACCATGAACATTTCTACATTCGTTTCTGCTGTGTACCTGCCATTTGAGAAATGAAAAGCTGTGTGTTTGTAAGAAGCAAATCCATCAAGTTGTTTTAACTTTAAACTGTTGTTACTGGCTAAAATGAGTCCTCTATCCATAATATTGTTTTCTCTAGTGGAAAAAGTCAACTGGTGTGAATCAGGAGAGAAATCTGCACAGATCAAGCACCGTTTACAAGCCCAAACAGTCCAAAACAGCTCTAAACAAATATGTGGGTGGATTTTGATGCCTTTGGGATCAAGGGAGCGTCACCAAGGGAGCGAAATCTGACGCGCTCGTTTTCTCAGAGGCTTGCAGAAAAAGGCTTCCCAAAACAAAGTTACTGGGTTAATCTTTATCACGTTTCCTTGGTTGGTAGATGCACCGGGGACCTGATTATAGCACTTAAAACCTGGAAAAGTCAGATTTTCATGATATGTCACCTTTAAACGTTTTGATGTATTTGTTTTTTTAGAAACACGCAGCTTTTCTCTTCACCAGACGTTAACTGATGGACTGGAGTGGTGTGGATTGCTTGTGGATTATTGTGATGTTTTTATCAGCTGTTTGGACTCTCATTCTGACGGCACCCATTCACTGCAGAGCATCCATTGCTGAGACACTGATGCAATGCTACATTTCTCCAAATCTGATGAAGAAACAAACTCATCTACATCTCGGATAGACTGAGGAAATTTTCAGCACATTTTCTTTTTTTGATGAACCATTCCTTTAAGAACTAAACAGATGTTCATATGATGTTGGTGGACAGTGCAACAATTGCATTAGGCTACAATTTCAGTCCATATGAAAAAATGATTATATTAGTCATTAGCTCTTAGCTCTTTCTATTTATAAGAAGACCAAGTCCTCTGATAGGATCTGAGCACCATTCATACCTACAAAGCCTGCCATGTTCATGACTTGACTGAACACACAGCTGGCAGGTGGAGCGTTGCCTGCGATGCTAAACAGAATAGAAAGCGCTAAGAACATTTATCAGGCCTCTAAACGAATCATGCAATTCATAATTACATTCAAATATCAGATTTACCTGATATATGGAGGAGATTTTGATTCTGACCTCCTATGTAAGCAAAATCAATTTGAAGGAGGCATAAATATTGATTACTTATATTAAATAATTGGCTTGCAATAGAGGGAAATTTCCTTACTTGTACTCTGAACTGAGTGGGGTGATTTTCTCATCCTCCACAGCAATGAAATACCTGTTTATAATTAAATTATTAAATATTTATCTTAACAGCAGCTTGAATCATTGAAGTGGACTTGGGCAAAGCAGGCGTCGGATACTCACACAACCCAGAGACCAGCAGCTGTGAAGAAAGAAAACATCACA